AAACAGTTTGTTTGAAATCAGCTTCACTTCACAAGCCCCAAGTTCTGCCAAGTTTCAACATTCCCAGTCCTAGAGGAAGTAGAATTAAACTTGCAGGAAAGGACATGATTCCCCAATGAGCATAAACTGGCATCTAACTACTGCTGTTGACAGGGAAACACCAGCAGAAGATCTTGCCTGATATCTTTCACTATTGTATTGTGGGGAGGGGCGGTGTATGTGTTTTAACCTGAAAACCCATTTTGAGTTCCCATTTCAGAAAACTCATTATGAAGCCCACCAATGCAATGCCGCAGCTGGCAAAGCAAACAAAACTCTGGCTTGCATCTACCGATGCATCTCAAGCAAGATCCAGGAAGTCATCCTCCTGCTTTACTTGGCCTTGGTGAGGCCACAGCTGGAGTACTGCATCCAATTCTGGGCTCCGCACTTTAGAAAGGATGTGGAGAAGCTTGAAAGAGTCCAGAGGAGAGCCACGTGTATGATCAGAGGACAACAGAGCAGGCCTTATGAGAAGACCGAGAGCCATGGGACTCTTCAGCCTGGAAAAGCGTAGGCTCAGGGGTGACTTGGTAGCAACCTATAAATATGTAAGAGGTGTGCATCACATCCCTGGGAGAACATCTGTTCACTAGGGCACCCCAAGGGAAGACAAGGTCCAATGGTCACAAACTCCTGGAAGACTGTTTTAGGCTGGACATAAGGAAAAACTTCTTTACTGTCCAAGTCCCCAGGGCCTGGAATAGACTCCTCCCAGAGGTGGTGCAAGTCATCTTTCTGGACTCTTTCAAGAAACACTTGGATGCTTTTTTTGCTGGGATCACTTGACCTCAGCTGACTTCCTGCCCTTTGGGCAGGGGGCTGGACCGATGATCTTGTGAGGTCCCTTCCAGCCCCAATGTCTATGAAATCGATTAATTCTGTTAGCTTTGGTAAAATACATGACTATTTTGAAGTAAGATTTTGCCACACTAACATGGGACCCAATTCTCACTTATGTGATAGAAGTGTAAAGGAGCTGTGTGGAGTGATGTAGTGGGCGCGTCTACACGAGATGCTTAATGCACAGAAGACTAATTGTACTGCGCGTTACCATGATGGGCAAAGCCCATGCTAATGTGCAGTAGATTTAGTCTAATGCACAGTAGCATCACAAAAAAACCGTTTATCTGTGCTAATATGCAGTAGCACCACTTACAGTGCATTGTTAGTACCTGTCATTACAGCACATTAATGAATGTGCAGACGCACCCAGTATTCTACAAATTAATGGAAACATGCACAATCAGATGATTGTGCACACCCTCTGGGACAGCCCCAGGTTTGAAGACCTATCCCACATGTTCAATTTAAGGCACCATACAAACCAGCCACAAAGATGTTCTACAATATGTGGAACATCTTTGTGACTGGTTTGTCATTTTATTGGGCCATATATTGGCTGAACTTACAGCATGCTGCAATTTATGACATGATTTAATGTGTCATTTGTTCCATAAATGTGCTGTCTGCCAGGGCCCAAAGTCTAATGAGGGAGCCTGGTACACAGAGGAGGGGTCATGAGGCTCTGCAGGATCAGAAGACCTCAGATTTTGATTTTATGCTGAAAGATTAAAATGATTTGTGGGAAATGACCCCATTTCCCAACTGACAGTCCTGCTAACAGATGAGTGTTTAGCAATGTAGCTGCAAGATGAGAGCTGGCAAGGAGGGGAAGTTCCAGCAATCTGCTCTAATCAGACAAGAAATAAACTCAGTGTTTGTTTTCCTTTTGGAATTCCTCCTTCCTCCTCAATATAATAATCAAAGTAAAAGTAATCAGTAGAAACCTGAGCACATTCATTTCAGGTTCCTGGTTCTTAAAGCTGATAGGTGCAGGTTGCCAGCCCAGCAGCTGGCAGCACAGAGATGGTAAGTGCTCCTGTTGGAGGCACTGAGCAGAAGGGCATTGGATCAGAACACTCCTGCCCCAGGAAAAAGGACTTGAGTCTTAGAGGTTTGTGGTCCAAGCTGCGTTCTCCCAGCCCAATGATGTTACCTTAAATAGAAAGAAAAGTGAGGTATGTTCACACCAAGTTGACTTTTACATTGAACAGCATCCTGCTCCTGTCCAGCATGGAAGGAAGGAACGGGTGGCTTTGAGTAAAGACTCCATGCCAAAGCCATGCCCTGGAGAGGAGAATGGTAAAACTTTACCTTGGGCGGCTGGCTACAGTCACCTTCTTGGGTGGCTCTAGCTTGCTGCCATGGAGAGCACCTTGAGGGGTTGTCCGCTGGGTTACAGAGACTGGGGAAGGAAAGGGGAGATCAACATGACCCACAGCCTCATCAAGCCAAGCACCTAGCACACAAGCAATGCAAGGATACGGTGATATGGCTGCCCATAATACCAGCCCCCTGGACTTGATGACCTGGCCTGTGCCCCAGGGACCCCTGGACACCTCTGTATTCTGCCTGGCACATTGACCTGCCAAATCCTCTTGTTCACAGAGCCTGTCCCTACAGGAAATTCCCCATCAGTAGCACTGAGCCTAGGGTAGAGCATGGGGAATGATCTTCCATACAACTGGTTTCTGACAGAAGTTTGGGTTTTCCACTAAATGAAATCCTTGGTGCAAAGCACCAGCTTCAAAGAGTGTTTGATTTTTCCCTAAATACCTAAAAGCTGAAACATTTCAATTTCAACATCCCCCCCTTATGCCTCACGCCCCATTCTCCTCTGTGGGTGGGTTCCCCTGTGGACATTCACCTCCCACGAGACACCATGGCCTCTGCTGTATCACCCCTCCTTGCCAAGAAGGAAGAGCAGGATGCAGCATGGGAGATGTAGGCCAATGGTAAGGCCCCTCCCAGCCCTCTCTTGTGTCTATTAATCAATATTATTATCCCCAGAGTTCAAGTGATGAACTGAGGCATGAGTGGGAGGAGAAGAGGGGCTGTGACTGGCCCAAGGGCACATACTGAACCAGTGTCAGACCCATCTCCACTGCCTGTGAACCTCACTGCTCTAGTGCCCCCAATTCAAGTGTGTCTAATAGAGACCGATTCACAGCAGGCACTGGTGTCAGAGAGGCAATGCCAGGGCCTAGTGCCAAGGGGAAGCAAGAGCAGTAAGGGACTTTGTAGTTACTAACAGATAGAGGAACTGCTTGAAGACAGAAGCAGCTCCCAGGAGCATGGGCCAGAGCCTTGAAGATGCTGGGGTGAGAGCTGCCAGCTTAGATTGTGTTAAAGATACAGACAGGTGCTTCCATTGTGAACATGGCACAAGGGATGGAGCAAAGTGGAAGAGCCTATGGCAGGATCCCAGGACAAAGCTGTAGCTCCTGGATAGTAGCTACCTCCCCTCATTGTTCAAACCCTGGAAAGTCATCCAGGATTTGAAGAGAGAGAGGTCCCAGGACAGAAGGGTAGTGTAGGAAGCTCCCCTAGCCCCTGCTGCTGAAAGAATAAGAAGCTCCCATTGCATTAGAGGACTGCAACATAATAGGCAACTAAAGTAGGAACAGCTGCAGGAAAGTAAGCAGCCAGGAGAAGCTAAAGATAGGAGCTACAAGGCAGTGAGGGACTAAAGAGCTAGCTGCATGGCCATAAGCATGAAGGACAGAGCTCCAAGCAGGTAAGAAGGCAATGACTACAGCTTAGTTGCTCAAACTGCCACAAGAGCAACTACTCATTGAGTAAAAGGGAAAAGCCCTGTGGAGGGTCAGTGGAGAATATGCCCAGAAGGGGTGGAGCTCAAGGGAGCATAAACCTTAGCTCCTAAGCCAGAGTAGCCAGTTCAGCCCTGATCCTTGCTGTGAGAAGAGCTAGAAACACAAGCTGCTAGAGCAGCACAGAGGCAAGCTCAGGTACCTGGGAAAGCTGGAGGGAGGATTAATGAATGGAGGGTAGGAGTTTGCAAGGTCTCAGGGAAAGAAAGGGAGAAGTGATTTGTGTCTCTTTTTACAAACTTGGACAATTTGGAAGTTTGGGTATGGCTACAGGGGTGGTGGAAACCACACACAGGGTGCTTGGGGACACTCTGTACCATAAGGGGCCTAGAGAGCCCTGTAAGACCCAGTGGGCTCTGTGGGCTAAAGCAGTGTGATTTAGGCTGGGAGCAAGAGCGCAGCCCTGTGAGGGTCAGGGACCCTGTGGGCTGAAGGTGGTATAGGGCCAGAGTGCCCAGCATTTAGAGCAAGACCTGCACGGCATAGGTGTGGCTATGCAGGAGCTTGTAGGGCCCCAGTAAGGGCCTGCAGGGCCACAACTGGTGTCAGAGAGGCAGTGCCAGGGCCTAGTGCCAAGGGGAAGTGGAACAGAGCGCTATCAAAGGCCTGGAGCCTAAAATAGTGAGCCACTTCTGCCTGGTACTAAGGGGCAGAGGAGGAGTTCTGCTCGGGACAAGGAACAGAGCCTGATGAGGAGCAGGTGAAGCACCCAAAGCTCCCTGGTCTCTGAGGGCAGTATCCCTAATTGTATCACTTTGGCATCAAGGTGTGGCAGATGAGACCTCAGGGTGATACCCTAGGGGGCAGGAATGGGGTAGAACAGGACAGGTGAGGTCACTGGGGGTGCTACAGCCACCTACACACCTGCGCCCTATTACAGGTGGCTTATGCAGCCCAACACTGGAGCCTTCAGCTCACCAGCCTGAGCTGTCACCCCTCCAAGAAATCCACGTGCTTTGGCTCCCAAAACCACTTCTTACCTCGCTGTCCGGATGCACTGGGCCTCAGGAGCCCCTTTGCCCCAGCAGACCCCTGGCCCAGGAACTGTGGCTGGCTGGATTTCCTTGGCACTGCAGCCTGGCTCAGGGAAATAACTCGGCTGGCTGGTTTGGGAACAGCGGTGGGCACTGGGAGGCGGCTGGCAGGGATGGGGATGGCTGTGCTCCTAGCCCGCGCCTGGCAGGTGGATGTCGCGGTGGGTCTGGAGCTGGTTGGGAGCTGGGAGGAGTTGCCCCCACAGGGCTTAGCTGGACCTGATTGCAGAAAGAGAAGGGGGTGAGCTTTAAGGGCTGGATGTGACATTTGGATTCATTCAGGTTCTCTGCCAGCTTGTCTCCCTTTTGGGGGAGCACCTGCCCTCACTGCCTGTCTCCCTGCCCTCCCCTTAGTCACTTGTACCAACCCACACTTAAAGCATCCGAGTCCTCCCCTTGGCAATTACAGTCCCTGACCCTCCACCCCTTTCCCCTGGCACTCATCTCCCCTGGCCAAAGACAGCACTGCCACACCACTCGCTGCCCAAGGGGCTGGAGTGGGAGAGGCTTTTTGTACTGATTCCCTTGAGATTAGCCTTATTCCCTTAAGCCCACATTATTCTGCTTCCAGTTCAGTGGCTGACTCCTGTTGCTCAGGTTCTCGCTTAGCGGCTCATCTCACAAAAGACTGTAGCCACTGTTAAGGAGCTCTTTCCCATCTGCTGGGGCACTGCTCTACGCACAAGCCGACAGCCACGGTCCGTAGCACTCTGACACTTGGGAGCTCAATGATTCCCTGGGGGTCAAGTGCCTGGTGCTGCTGCTAACTGCAGAGCTCTGCCTCCAGCTCCATCCAGAACTGGGTAATTGAGGCAGATGGAAGGACTTGATCCTAGGGCTGGAAACACACAGCTGGTCCACAAAAATTGGAGGACATGTTTCTGGTTTTGGAGCAATTACTGTCTCTGTGTTGGCTGTACTGCTGAATACAGCACAGCCCACAGCCCTGGCCATCATGCCCTAGACTCCCATTTCCACATTGGGAGGGTGGATTTTTTCCAAGCAATAAAAGCCCATTCTTTCTCCCCACCAAATGAAGGCTCTTCCCCAAGCTGGACACTAGATGGAGCTTGATCCCTGCTGGATGGGAAAGGCTTGCATGCATGGAGATGCCACAGCAGTGATGGGGAATTACAAAAGAGCCACCCATCTCAGTGCAGTGCTTGGTGGAAGCTCACTGAGGCAGTCCGTATGCT